GTAGTAGTAGTCGTAGTAGTAGCAGAAGAAGAAGAAGTAGTAGTAGTAGTAGTCGTAGTCGTGTTAGCAGGAGTAGGTATCAAGAATGTTAATCGTAGTACCAGACCCTAAACAGTAAGTTTAGGTTTCAGGGCATCGGGAATCTCATAGAACCCTTCAAGAACCTCGCATACCATACTATGACCTGTAGAAACGGAGGCGCCTGAGACTTTACACGCCGCCGGAGAGGGCGCTCCTCCCTCGGCGCCGCAGTCTTCGGGTGAGGCAGATTAGGGTCTAGGGCCATTGGGTTTAAGGGTTTAGGGTCTATAGGGTCTAGGGTTTAGATTTGTTGGTTTAGGGCTTTGGCCATTGGGTTTAAGGTTTAGGGTTTAGGGTCTATTGGGTCTAGGGTTTAGATTTGTTGGTTTAGGGCTTTGGCCATTGGGTTTTAGGGTTTAGGGCTTAGGGACGGGTCCCGGTATTGAGGTCTAGGGTTTTGGGCTTACGAGTTACCTGAAACCCAGAAGGCGGATTTTGCTACAGGAATATAAACACATGAACACAAACGGGCATCATAGTAAAGAGTCCTGCAAACATCGGTGTGTTGGATCGAAAATATGGCTGAAACTATACCACTCCGCATCCACGGACCCACGTAACATTTGCATGTATCTTTCATGGCCTTGAAGTTATGACAAGGCCTCAGTGTATACGAAGGGGCTCTGGTCACGTGGACCGTTAGGGTTCATTAAACGGTATAAAGGTTCACGTTCTTGAAGGGTGCAGGAGTTCAGATTTCGGTGGAAAGCACATACCTTGCAACCTGATGCAGTTCTTCACTTGTGCAGCGCAATTCCTCGCCGTCACCATCCCTTCGACAAGAAGACATGTTGCCTTTGTTCCCGGCGCCGAGGACTTGGGCGCAGAACGGGCCTAAGTGTATTCTTCCTCCCTGAGGCCACTAGGTCTCATCCGCCCTTTCCACGGGCCAGAGCCTGGTGCACTCTCTTTTTGAGCGTGTCCTGGAAGCCTGGCAGGTTTCGTGCTCAGGCTGCCCATAGGCCCCTAAGTAGTTCCTTTTTGTGGTTCATGTCTAGGATCCTATAAGGTAATCCCAANNAAGGAACTACTCTGGGGCCCATGGGTGGTTGCTGGTCCCAATTGTGGCAACAACTGCAAGTTCCATGGCGTGCGAGGTTTGCAGCTGGGGAGTTTTGCTGCACATCCAGATCCGCGAAATCCCGAATTGGAGAGAGTTGTGGTCCTAGCCAGAGTTTTTTGGCTCTTTTCTGAAATGCTGTCAGCAAATTGTGTGACAGGATCAAGGAAATCGAATGACAAGTAGATAACAAGTGAGACACTAGATAACTCAATTTGGTTTATCTACTCATGTCTCTATCTGTGTACCTATCTATGTTGGTTGGTCCTGTTTTCTGCCTCTGCCCAACGGCTTTCGATTTGTTGAAGCGGGAAGTTTCGGGGGCCAGCCTGCACAGTAAAACATAACTTGAATCTTTAAGCAAGCAAGCCCTTAGCATCAAAATCGCCCAA